TTTAATATGTAATGATGATGAAGGTAAATTAGAAAGGTAAAACTGGAAAAATAAGTTTTCTTTGGGGACTATTGTACCTTATTACACCCTGCGTGTACCCCTTCACCATGAAATAAAGATATAAAGATATATAGATATATTGATATATGAAGCTTGCGTGCATCAGAGAAGCAGAGAGCTATGCGGCCTGGAGTTTAAACTTTCTTTCAGGGTCTTCCATGGTCTTAGCATGGTTGTCGCAAAGGTGCCAGAGGTGCCAGATTAATCCTACCACCTATATTAGGCAGCTGCAATATAGGACGATGTCAGAGGTGACAATAGCAAAGACATCAATTCAACTGCTGAGGGAAGAAGACAATGGTAAACCACTTCTGTACTTTACCAAGGAAACCACCTAGATAGACAGAACAGAATGATTGATAGATAGAGCCAGGAGATGGGACCCTCAACTCGGAGGGTACTCAACCTGTTACTGAGGAAAATGGAGTAGTACAGCTTGTGTGTATCACAATGTTGACCAAAGCCTTCACCATATCTAGTTGCTGAAGTTGGCAAGAAAGAAGTACAGAGCCCTGCTAGCAACATCCTGTGTAAATAAGAATAATGCATGGCCACGACTTAGTAAGGCATGGGAATGAAATAATTAAGCCTCGACCACAGATTAATAAGGCATGATTTCCTTTCTATGCCTTACTAAGTCGTTGCCATGACTTAATTATCTTGTTCCCACACCTTACTAAGTCATGGCCAAGCATTAGGATCTCATTCCAATGCTTTAATATGGCATTATTTTCATTTATAAGGGATGTGACCAGCAGGGCTCCATAGAAAAGAGGATTCAAAGCTGCAAAAACAAAATTACTGTATGAACTCAGAATGTACAAAGTATAAATAATGGCAGGCTGGAAGAAGTGAAGCTAGAAATTAATTGTCAACATTCTTGGGATCGACAAGCTAAAATGGGCCGGATTAGGACACTTTCAATCAGGGGAATGCACCATTTACTACTCAGGTCATAAAAAACAAAGAAGAAATGGAGTGGCTTTCATTGTCAACAAGGACGTCAACAAGAGTGTAATTGATATGGTGAATGATCATTCCAGTTTTAATGCACAGTCATTCAACATTACAGTCATCCAGGTTTATGCCCCAATAAGCAATGAAGAAATCTAAACGTTTTATGATCAAGCTCAGGCTGAAATTGACAAGACCTGCAAACAAGATGTATTTCTGGAATGCTAAGGTCAGAAATGAGAAGGAGAGAAACACGGCCTTGGAAGAGAAATACAGCAGGAGAACGACTAATCAACTTTTGCAAGTACATTTACTTTTTCATTACTAATACATATTTCAAGCAACCAAAACAACGTCTGTTCACCTGTATTACATCACCAGATGGCGTTCACAGAAACCACATAGGCCACATTTCTTTGCACTAAGAGATAAAAGAGCTCCATTTAATTGCCAAAACTTGGCCTGGGGCTGATTGTGGAACAGATCATGAGTTTCTAATGTGCAAGCTCCAACTAAAGTTGAGAAAAAACAATCAAACCATCATATCTCCAAAATATGACCTGGAGAACATGTCATCTGTCTTCAAAGAAAACATCAGGAATCGATTTCAAATGCTGGACACAACTATCAGAGAACCTGAAGAGCTAAGGATGGGACTCAAAGAGGTCATCGAAAAAGAATCTGAGAAAAACCTGAGAAGAATGAAAAGGAGAAAGAAATCAAAGTGGATGACTCATGTTACAGTTGAAACCGCAAAAAAGAGAAGAGAAAACAAAACCAAGAAGACCTCTTAAGAGAACGAAACTGTGAATTTCAGCGTGGTGCCAGGAAGGACAAGGACCAGCACTACAAAAATACCTGTAAGGATACTGAGAAGGTGAACAAACATGGAAAAAACAAGGACTGTTTTTCAGAAGATACAGGAGATCAGAAACAAATTTCAGCCATGAATGGATACTCTATGAGACATCAATGGACAAATGAAAACAGATGAAAAAAAAATAAAAAAAGGTGGAAAGCATATACAGATGAACACTACAAAAAAGATTTGCAAAGACAATTGCAAAGACACTTTTGTTGAGGTCAGCTACACAGAAGAACCTTTAGCGCTAGGAGATGAAGCCAGACAGGCCCTGAGACCGTTTCCAAAGAAGAAAGCCACAGGTTATTTCAAGATTCTGAAGAAGATTTCATTAAGGTACTGACCAAATTATGTCAACAAATCTGGAAAACAGCTCAATTGTAGGCAGATTAAAAGACGTCAGTTTGTTTCCAAACCAAAGAAAGGAGAAAAGAAAGAGTGCAAACTATTGCACAATTTCCTTAATATTATAAGCTAGTAAAATTATGCGTAAGATCATTCACTGTAGGCTACAGCCTTACATCAAAAGAGAACTGCCAGATGTACAAGCACAATTCAGGAAAGGCAGAGGAACAAGAGGCATCATTGCGGAGTTCAAGAAGGAAGTCAACATGTGTTTCATTGACTACATCAAAGCCTTTAACTGTGTTGGTCACAAAAAACTAATGGAATGTCCTCAGGAAAATAGGAATACAATGCACCTCATCATTCTAATGAGGAATCTCCACACTGTGCAACAAGCCATGGTCAGGACAGAAAATGGACAAAACTTATGATACAACACACATCTGCAAGACCTGAAGGCCTTTATAAGGAAGGTTAAGGAACAGAGTGAAAAGATGGGACTTCAGCTCAATATGAAGAAGACTAAGGCTGTGACAGCAAGAAAGACTTCTAACTTTTCCAATGAGAAGATGTGGAAGTGCCTGCTCGGATTAGTTATTAACAACAGAGTATCCAGCAGTCAAGAAATAGGACACAGATTGCCGCTTGATAGAACAAGGATGAAGGATCAGAATTGTCCAGGCTGTGGTCTCCTCTGTGGTTCTTTATGGATGTTAAAGCTGGACAATAAACAAGCAAGATTATAGAAAAAATATTGATGCCTTTGAACTTTGGTGTTGGCGAAGACTTTTTAGAGTATGACAAAGAAAACAAACAAATGGATCCTCAGACGAATCAAGCCTCACCTCTCACTCAAAGCCCAGAGAACCAAACTGAAGCTCTCTTATTTTGGAACAAATTCTGAGAAGAACTGATTCAATGGAAAAGACCATTATGCTTGGAAGTGTTGAAGGTAAAAAGGACGAGGACCACCAGCAAGAAGATGGATGGATATAATCAGAGCAGTCATGAACCAGCCATTCAGAAGACTGAAGAGCCAAAAAGAAGACAAGATATTCTGGAGGAATATGGTCGCCAGGAAAAACGGCTTGATAGTTATATAAAAGTCTGTAGACGACTGTTCATCCGGTGTTTCTCCCGAAATCAAGGGTACTGATAGGGAGCTTCTTCTTCTTTGCTGCAGTAACAGCCTCTACTCTTCTGAGAAGACTTTATATAGGATGTTGAAGCATTGCTGTGAGGATTTGATTGCATTCAGCCACAACAGCATTGGTGAGGTCAGGTACTGATGTTGGATGATCAGTTCTGGATTACAAACTCCACTCCAACTCATCCCAAAGGTATTGAATGGAGTTCCATCACTTCAGAGAATGTAGTTCCACTGCTCCACAACCTAGCAGGGGGGCTTGATACCCCTCTAGCCTAGTGGTTCCTAACCCTGTTCCTTTAGGACCCTCTGCCCTGCACATTGTAGTGCATTGTTTCCTCTGCTCTCAACACACCTAAGCCAACTAATCGGTTCATTAACAAGCCCTTCATGGCTTGAAATGGGTGTGCTGGGAGCTAAATACTAAAATGTGCAGGTTGAGAACCTGTGCTCTAGCCAACACTTGGCATTGGACGTGGAAACCTTAGGCCCATTGCTTAATACTTACTTTTGGGCACAAAGTGTAACATCCTGCTCTCAAACTTCATCTAGAACACTACATTTTTTTCATGATTGACACGAGGCTGCACTACAGGAAAATCTCTGATTGCGTGCATGTTTGTTTTCAGCCACTGGTTCCTAAATATTTCAAATTTAAAGTTACCATTCTGCTTTGACTCGTCTGTGTCTCTTCCATATGTGCACACCAGACATCTGATACCAAAGCAACATCAGCCCGTGAATAACATCCGCCCCTGAGTGCTTCTTCAAGGCCGTATTATCAGCACTGTGCGTACAGCCTAGAGCAACGTCACATGGATGCCTTTCCTTGTTGCGAAATTCAATGACACAAATTATCACTATTGACACACCAATGTGCATCATCTGCCAAACTGCTCTTTTCAGCGTTTTGCATTTTAAATTGAGTCGGTTGCAGCTTAGACCCTGAACAGGAAATCAGATTTCCGGTTAATTGAAAGTGAATTGTGTATTTTATTGTGGAAACAGGCAGATTTGGATGATCTGGGCTACCTTTTGACTCAAAACCTGCTTTTCATCCCGACCATATTAAAAATGTCTCAGACATCAGGCAGTGCATTTTATAACCATTTCATGTAATAACTTTCTGCGAGGAAGCTTTTAAAGGCATTAAACGTCTGGTTCCTATCACCAGTTCTGAATCTGTAAGTTTCTCTAGAACAGAGCATTTTCACACCAAACCACTCTGAATAAAATGTGTTTAATCTTAATCATTTGCTTATGCAGAACATTTGAAATTGGTGGAATTTCCCTATAAATTTAAAAGCTACACAACCAGGTTTGCTTTCATTAAACTCAAAACGTTAATGGCAATAGAAAACACATATTCCTAACTCGGTGAATGTGGAATTTGGTGACTTGGGAGGGAAAAAAAAATTCGGTTAAATTTTCTGTCCGTAAAAGACGAATGATTGTACCAGTGTCCACCAGAAGGGGGCAGCAGTGAGCAGGCTTTGGGGCGCGTCTCTCACGACTCCCTCTGACTGGCGTTGTTTTTTACCCACCGCTATTCCGACAAACAACGCCTCTGCGCCGTGATTGGCCAATAGTGTAAGATACTGTGCGGGGAGTATGGATTACTAGCCAATCCGAAGGCAAAGGGCGAGATGATACGGACCAATCATAGCACAGAAGGCAGGGCTTTCTGCAATACGGGTAGGGAAAACTAACCGTCTCAAGCTGTGGCGTCTCAATCCCCCTCTCTCCATCTCTCTCTCCTTCTGTCTCTCTTTCTCCCTCTCTCTTTCTCACCGAGAGAGATGATGCTCCTGCCGCCCTGCTGCTCTGACTGGTCTGTGTAAACTGGACACGTCTGTCCTGTTGCGCCGAAGTGGAGTATATACATTTGTCCTCTTTTTCTTCGTCCCGTCTGTGATTTCTAAAGTTTAAGCCGCCTGTAAAGACCCACCGTTCGGTCATGCGTAGTTCGGCGCGCCTCAGGATGTGTCAGTGATGCGAGCACACTCGCGAGGAGGAACAAATGGACTAACCGTTACTCTTCTCTTCTTCACCATGGGAGTGTTACAACTTTCTTTTCTCCTCGTAGTCGGTGTGCTGCCGGGTGAGTCCCACATTAATCGGGCTTCTGTCTGTCACACAGGCTGTTGTCAGTGTTGATGTGAGGTGGAGTTGGGGTTATTCACCATCTGTGGAGAACTGACGGTCTTCTGTTTAGTCCTCTACATGTTTGAGTGGCTTTAAGTGTTCTCTAACCTGCCGTCTTAACGCGGGGTTTCGTTTGTCTTTTTTTTAAGAACTCCACCTTTTGTGCCCCTGTTTTTTTCCATTTTAATGTGTGTTGTAATGTCTTGAAGTTCACTCTGTTTGTTTCCCAGCTTTGTGGTGTTGTCTTTCCCAGTCTCTGGTTTGGGGGCTGAATCTGCTCTGGTTTGCCTCCTGGTTGAACCTGCTTTCATTCATTCATTTTCGATTTTTTCATGTTCATTTTCAGTATTTTTGGGTTTACCATACTTTTTTTTTTTACATTTTCTCCCTGGTTGAAGGTTTGGGGATTCACCTTAATTTTCATTTTTTTCAGTCATAGGTTTTGTCAGTTTCCTTAATTTTCAGTTTCAGGTTTCAGGGATGACTCTGTTTCATGTTTTTGGTTTTAGGTTTGGTGGTTGACCCTGCTTTTCATTTTTTCAGTGTTAAGTTTCAAGGTTTGACCCTTCTTTTGATTTTTTTTTTTTGGTTTTAGGTTTGGTGGTTGACCCTACTTTTCATTTCTTCAGTTTCAGGTTTTGGGGTTGAGCCTTCCCTACGCATTGACATCTTTGAGGAGCTGAATATTGAGGAGTCTTATGCAGGAGTTTCTCAAGTCCAGGGCTTCCACAATGAGAGCAGGGCCTTTCTGTTTAAAGGTAGGACCTGGAGTTTTAATTCTTCCCCATAATGTGGTTATTAGCAAACAAGCCAGCGCTGCTCTCTGTAGAAATGTCCTGAGGGAGGTCACTGTTTCATTTTAAAAATGAATTTTAAAATGAGATTGAAGTGGTCAATCCACTGCGAACATCTGGTTGAAAAGCTGCCAGGCAGGCAGCGGTGTGCAGCTGCTTGGAACGGCATAGTTTCGCCCTCCACTTAATCTTAATCTCTCATGAAAAATGGATCAAAACAACAGCAAAACAGCAGGCAGCTTGGTAAACAGGTTAGCAGCTGCCCGTGCTGCTCCAGAAGGCCCATCCATTAATGCACTCAGTAACCACTACCATATGCAGGACATGTGGTACTGCAGGTCTAGCCCATAAACTCCATCTTGAGCCGTCATATATTTTTCTCCCAAGACATGTGAGATTGCCATTGCAGTTGTGAACACACATTTTGCTGTTTTATACAGACGAGGCTTTCTGTAATCAGTGAAAAGGTTCCACTACAGGTGCACAGTGTTTGCTAAGGGCTGATGTATTATTTATTTATGTATTATTGGGCCACTCCTTTTGCTTTACATTAGGGATGAAATGAAGTGCATAGGGAGCAGAAGGCAGATTTAGGACACCTTCATTGTTTGTGCATGTAAATTAGATGACATGTAAGTTAGACACATTCAGGGCACAATGAAATCTGTTTTATTTTTTCCCCATTTTCTGATGTGTTGATTTTTTGGATTTTTACTCATTTGTCTTTGGGAAAGTTGGTGTAAAATGACACAAATAACAGTGAAATGACTCTGTACATTCTTTTTATCTAATACAGTCACTAAAACAATATATTGAAAAAACATTCAGTAACAACAAGAACATTTTAGGATATAATGAATCAGTTAATTCATGGCTCACATTCGCTAATGTGTAGGAAGTAAAAGATTCTTCCCAAAAATGTGCTATTAGCACTCAGTGTTATGTGCCTCATTGAAAGAAAGAAAACTGGCATGAACTCACACCAGCAGGGTCTCATAAATTTATATTTTTCAGTCATTGTCAATCTCTTTTTGGTAGTGTATGACACACAAGACGTGAATCATATTCTATGTAAGTAAACAAACACAGAGTATACTTGTATTCAGTGGTCATGTTCCTGTGACAACTGATGAAGGACTAGAGGATGACCGACACAAACTGTGCAGCAACAAATGAGTTACTGTCACTGACCAACAGATCTGTCTAATCGAGTGGACAGTGAGTGGACACAGTGTTTAATAACTCTAGTAACACTGCTGTGTCTGATCGATTCATACCAGTGCAAAACTTGTTTGGACAAATATGAATAATGTAGGATATGATTACAATTGCAACTCTTGCAATTTAAAAAAATTACACTCTTTCATAGTGCGATTTCAGTAAAACAATTACTCGTTTAGCACTATGTAACAGAAAGTCAAGCCAGTCATCTTGTTGCTAAAGGCATACACAAGGACAGGCCATCTCTGTTGTGGACATATGCACATGTGTCATAGCCAAAACAACATGAAACAGCAAAATTGTCAGATGTGATTTTAAAAATGTTTTTTTAAAACACTCACCTGACAGTTTTAGGTTTGTAGGTCTTTCCCCAAGTAGATAGGATCCTGGTCTTAAAGGCTGGAAATAACTGCCAGGAGCAGTGCTAAGATAGCTGCCAAGTGGACAGACTTTGTACAGACTGAGTCTATATTCCTGGTTAGAGTTTCCCTGCACTCTGGACGTCACTGTGGAAGTGGCAGCGCCAGAAACGGGGCCTTGGAGGATTACGGCATTGATCCGTGCTGTGAGACGGATGGCCTGGTGGCAGAATTACACACGGGCTTTGGATGAAGTCAGCTGTCTGCAGAATGGAAATGAGAGACAACCAGTGGTTGCCCCCTCCCTGATGAGGTGTCCTAGTGTCCTGCTTATGCATGAGGAGAGTGGATGAAAAGGGAAAGAGTGTGAAGAGGAAAGAAGATGAGCTCCTGGACTGCTTCTGACTAGAGAGTGGAGACTGAGCTGTACAGCACACAAGGCTGTGAGTTAGAGGGTTATATCGTCGCTGTCATTAAAAAAAAAAAAAACTTGTAACTTCATAGAGATTACTTTTTTCATATTACTTTTTTAAACCATTTGAAACACTAGGCTCCTTCACATTAATTTCGAAAAGCAGACCTTTCACTTTTTCTTTATGTTGTATTACCAGTTCTTTTGAGTATGAGTATCATCAGTAATTTTAGAACTATGACCAAGTGCATATATCATAGAAATAGATTTAGACTAATTATAGAGAGACTGCAAACAACAACAACCAGTATACAGCAATTTCTGCAAAATAACAACTAGCTGATTGGATTTCAGCCCATTATGCTAGTATATTTCATTAATATTTTCATAATTTGTAAGTTATTTCTACCAATTCTTTGATTTTTTTTTCTGTATTGTTCCTACTTGGTTAATGTTGAACAGTATTTGTAGTTTTTTAAGCCTTTTTTGTGATGTGGTATGGCTATTTTTCTGGAGCAAATGTTCCAAACCTGTGAAAAATGCATTCAAGTATCATGATATTGCATATTAGCCATATCGCTCATCCTTACCATAAAGAGAGGGATGTGTACGGTTACTCGAGTACTCTGATAACTGTTTGAGTTGCCGGGTTCAAATACTGAAATGACTGTTTGGGTACTTGTCACAGTTCATCATGAGAAGACATAGAAAATATGCAGACTAACAATTCAGTGAAACAAGAGGGTTTAGCTTATGTTTGCAAATAAGTATGTTATGTAATTCTTTGCTACTCTAGTTTATGGATCTAGCTATGGATCCATAAACACTGAAAATATATTTCTCGGGCAAAAAACATGTTGGCACATCATCCACTGCAGAGAAAATAAGACAGCGTGTCGCCATCAATATCCAGTGTGACACTGGGTTAGCTCTTTTAACTCCTTAGTTCATGTAAAGAGGCAGCCTCTGTTACTCATCAAGGGACATCGGTAGGGAAACCTACCGATGTCCCTTGGCTCTTTTTGAAACATATTTTCATGTGTATTGCAATGCATGCGGCTATATTTTTGTGCAACACCTGTGCTGCCACCTACATTGCTTGCAAATGTATTCAACCTCCTCAAAAGTTAAGATAAATCTGAATTACATATGACACAGATGATTCCAGACAGTATTTTGATTGCAAACCAATATGCTCTTAAAGTAATGTAGTGATTTTCACCCAGTTTTCCTGGCAGATTTGTTTCAGGTTGTTCAGGTTGGTTGGTTGACGCTTGTGTACCACAGTTTTGAAATAGTGCCCCAAATTCTCAATTCGATCTGGACCTTGACTTGGACATTGTAGATCATTCACCTTTTTTTGTTCAGCCACTCCTGTGTTGTTTTGGCCTTGTGCTTGGAATCATTGTCCTGCTGAAAGGTGAAGTTTCTCCCAAGCCTTGTTGTCATTGCAGTATCTCTCTGTATTTTGCGCCATCCGTCTTTCAGTTTTAAGAAGATGCCAAGTCCCTGCTGAGGAAAAGCGTCCCTGCAGCATAATGCTGCCACCTCCATGCTTCACTGTTGAGATGGTGTTTGTTGAGGAATGAGCAGTGTTAGGTTAGTCACACATAGGGTTTTGAACTAATGGTGTCTTTATAGCTACCCTCCCTTACATGGTGGTCATATGCAAACTCTTGATATTAATGATTGGTGCACCTTCCCTCTGTTCTCAGCCACTGAACTCCTTCAAAGTGATTGCAAGAGTTTTGAGGTTAGAACCTTGTGTAGGCAATGCCTGGGTGGTATGATGCAGCTTCTATTTCCTCACAATTGATCCAAAAGTGTTATTATTTTGTGCATGTCTCTAACTTTCTCTCTGATATTATTTGGTCTTAATTTTCAGCTTTTCTTCAGATTTGCAGTCTGACGATATCCATGAAGTCTTACAGTTGCTTGATATCGACATTAGCAGGGATGCACATTATTAAACGTTATTGTTTTGGAGATGTGGGGCATTCTTACAGCAGCGGTGATATGCTGGTGTGTTATACGTATACCTGAGTTGAGTGGGTACATCACAGAAGGTAAAGGAGAGAGAAAGTTTGTCTGGCTGTTCCACTCTGCCTCTCTCATACTCAGTGCAGCCGCTCGACTGGCTCTAAGTGCTGGGATCGAATTGCTGCTAATTCGTCAGCTATTTGAGCACACTGACCCTGAGGCAGGACATTAGCTGAGTGTGTTTCCCCTATGTTGAGACTGTCTGAGACTTTTCCTGTCTCAACCTTACGTCTGCTCACCTGCAGTCAGGTTCCACTTTCTGCTGCATCCTCTCAGAGTGCGAGACTGCAACATCAGGTAACACCCACACACAGAGCAGTAGCTTTCCTCTCTTACACAGCTCCAAGGCAGTCACAGGGAACATGTAGCATTGGTATCTTGTGATTAATGTGATGTTAATTGGAGCTGAGACACTTGTTCGCTGTGTCATTGTAATTATGCATGAATTATTCATTTAATGTAAATGAGTGTAATTTTATGGGTAGATTGTGAAAGCATTGGTGGGGGTCCCACTGTTTTACATGTGAGTTGCAGCTGACAGGTCAGTCAAGCACAGCGACACAGCCTTTGTCAACCAACATTGGTGTTAGTTGGCTGCTTTTTTTTTACCGTGACTTTTTTTGCTCGATGCCGAGATTTGAACTGCTTTAATAGCTTTTAATGATCTAACTGCATTAAGCACCACCTTGTGAGTTTTACTTCAAAGTTCTTAATTTGGTATTAATTTGGAAAGTAAGTAAGTAATAAATAAATAAATATGAAGATGAAAATTCTGCCTAGATGCCGTATTATCTTCGACTAATTATTTTTGAAATGATGCTGCAAGCAACACTCAGTTCCAATTAAAATAAATAAATGAATGCATGAAATTAAAGGAACAGTTTGGTGAAAAAACAAATTTACATGATGATCTAGGTTTTGCTTCTTTAGTT